GCTTTTCCTTGACCGCTGCATTCAATTTGGCCAGTTGCTAACATTCGCGGATAATAAAAAATAACAACATAATAATAATAATAATAATTTTATAATATATAACATTTACGGATACCATAAAAATGGGAGTGAGAGACATCTATAACTGAAATCGGCAATTACTTAGTTGCCAACCCAATATATATCGTTAAGAATACAATTTTATTAAGCAAATGTACATCCTCCTCCAAAAGTATTAGGGCACCTTCTTATTTAATATAAATTGTAATTTTTTCGTTCAGTTTAGCTAATGTCTGTGAGCTTTATGACGTTGTATTGTCGAAAGTACAAATCAAATTAAACGTGTTTGTCACTCATACGATTAGTGTTCCCATTTATTGCACTCTGTTTACTGAAAACGTATGCCGAGTTCATTTCATACTCCTCGTTCGGTATCACACGCAACGTTTCCCTATGCGTTTTCTAAATATGTGGAACATAGTACAAAATACATGGAACCAAATAGAAAGAGAAATAATAGACAAAATAATAAGACGGATGTCGAAATTAGTCCAGGGAATAATTAAAAACGTGATGGATGAATTGATGAAAAGAAAATTTAAGCCTCTTTCAAAAAATTGAACAACATAATAATAATAACATAATATAATAATAATAATAATAATAATTTTATAATATAACATTTACGGATATCATAAAAATGGGAGTGAGAGACATCTATAACAATATGTCAACGATTACTCTTTTTCAGCATGCTTACCCCTTGCGAGTCTTAATTGAATTGAGAAACTAGAATGGATTTGCGTGAAAATGAATTTTTAAATCATTCTGTAACTCACATATGGGTGACATGTGAGTGAAAGTGTTAATAAATACCGTGTAATTCTAGTATGAAGTGCGTGATTTTTTTTTTGTTTGACTTTACCAAGGAATGTGCAAAGAAACTGTTATACCTTTTGCAGTCAAATCGACAAGGTTTATTTGTACGTATCTCAACGACGATTTAAAACTTTTTGAAAGAAAAAACAGTTGAAATTTGTTGCACTGCGTGCTATCGAACATGGTCGCTTTTAACAAAGGTCGTCTCACGGTGTCCACGATTCCAACCATTTCGCTTGTCTGAAGTAAAAGAATCGTGAAAGTTCTTTAACCCCTTGCCGTACTTTAACGAGTCTAACTCGTAATGAAGATTTCTAGTAATAACCTGTTAAGTACGGATTTTAAGTTCAACTGAAATTCTGTTCTTTTCTCTGCAATATTTAAATATTCAAAGAAATGTAGGCGCACGATAAATACAAATTTTCTTCTTCTTCTAAGAAATTATTTTAATTGAGAAGCTTCTCTAGTCATCGTAACTGGGAAGGAAATGGTATGGCAAGTACCACAGTGTTACTATGAATTTGACTATAGCAGATACTGAAACAAAAGAAAAAAGTCGGCGATTAAAGGAGTGGCGATACTTTGAAATTTGATTATCATTTCTTGCATGTTTTGTTAAACTTCAGAGGTCTAAAGGAAATGAAAAAAAAAAGTTTTGCTTGATTCCAGTAGGGACTGTTAGTCACATACGCGTTAAATACGTATTTAAAATTTTGTGTCAGTTGGTCACGTATGTTATGTCAATCATCATATCATTATGGACACCGTTCTGAAAAACGGTTCATTTTTCAAGAATCTCATCCATTGAATTTTTAGCCAAGAGACAGATTCGCCCGCGGTATTTTTTACTCCCCTTGTTATTGATTTTTCAAGTGATTTCGTTGAAATAAAATCCGGCTGCGACATTCGTTTGATCGAAAATGTATTTCTTTTTCTACAATTTTCGATCAATTCATAGTAATGTTGACTTAGACCACTTTCATAATTAACACTAAATGAATTCCGTATAACGTTGTAATTACAACTACTATCTAAAGGTTCACTTTTGACGATATCGTAAAAATTACATTGAATAAATTTAGTTTAAAATCATGTCGTGTGAAATAAGTGATAAATTCATTTTTTTTTAAATTTTGACTTAGACCACTTTCATAATTATGGGCACAATTCATCAGTGTCCATCATCGGTGTTCAAGTGGCACTGACATGTGCGGTGCACAGCAAGAGTTCAACTTTGAAGTGTGCTCCCTGCGAAGAGTGAATGACAATATTGGATCACTCGGTCGGGAACAATTTAGCTGGTTCGAAATGCTTCCGGAAGCGAGAACCAGTTCAGTTGTGTATCGTCAGAGTCCAACTTTTACTTGCTTGCCTCGATTAAGTCCGGCCAACTCTTAACGTCGCGCGTACGTCTTTTCTAATAGCAATCTGCCGGCGATCGTGAAACATTCTATCAGCTTTGAAATCGAATGAAATTGCACACTGGGCTTGAAACAATCGCGCGAGCCGCGCCGGTGTATATGTAACTAGAACGTAAATGAAATTGAGATATGGTAACGAAATGAAATGCAGCATTAAGTAGAGGCGGTACAGTAATAGCAGGCTTTCGCATAAGCACCGGCAGATTAAGGTGACTATATTGTCGATCGTTCGAAGCGATTATCTTATTCGACCCAGTTCGAAAACCGTTGTTCGCCGTCTTGTTCCGTCGAAAAATGTATGGAAAGGGGGCTGAGATCGCCGCTTGGGAACCGGGTCTTTCAGCGGCGGGGGTATTCGGGGGCGCGGATAAAAGGATCGAATAGATTTTAGTAGCGAGTAATCGCGGCGTGTACGATAGCTCGCCGAACGATCCTCTTTTATGGGATGCAGATGGTCTTTCTGCGGAATTTTCCTTCCGTTTCGAATGCATCCCCTTACTCCACATTTTCGTTCACAAAGGATGATTGCAGAAATACCCCTGTAAATTTTCTCGCGTCTGTATAGCGTCCAGAAAGATTTATTATTATAAATGTTTCTTGCTGCCCTCTTTATTAGACAAAACCGGTAGGAATCTGTTTGGTGATAGCGGCGCCTCCCGTGGTAAAATGAAAAAACTCTGTTCAAGGTCCGTACAGCGCCGATTAGTAAATGGCGAAACGCTCGAACCGCTAGACAAAATTAATTGTTGATAATTTTACCTATCATTTTCAGTGTTATACGATGTGTGTAATACGAACTTTCCTACCTCGATTCTTGTTGGATTTTACATTATAATATTTTTTCTTATCTTATGACACGACTCTTAAAGTCTGAACTTGGGTCCGGGTCCGTGCCCACTGACCGTTACATGTAGGCTATGCTAGTATGATATATCTATAATTTCGAAAGAGTGACACACCGATGTTCTAAACGTGTTGAACTGTTTTAATATTCGACGTTAATGAATATGCGAAAATGTTTAATTCTTAGAAAGCAAATTTAATTACATAATCAAATATCTATAAGAAGTATACACTAGTGGCGCCCTCTATGTAGTCCTAACATCAGACTAAAAAAATATAACATTTCTTGATCAATCGATATCTTGAAGCATTGACTGGAAACATCGATTTTATAAAATGATACATCGATGCAACATCGCTTATCGACTCATCGGCCGATGTAGCAAGGCAAACGTGACCTCGTGCAGTTCTTATACTTTTTTGGTAGCTGTAATAAAGAAGAACGTAGAAGTGTAATTGATCTGGAATATTCTCATAGTCTAACATTATGAGTAACATTAAGACGCCTATATCAATTTTACAAGAAAAACTTATAAAATGTGCTAATTCTTTACCTGTGTACACAGAAATTGCTTCTACAGTTGAATTTCAAGAAACTAAATTTACTATTCAATGTAGTTGGAATGAATATAAGGTAAAAGGTGTGGGAACCACCAAAAAAGAAGCTAAACAAAGTGCTGCACAAGAAATGATCAATTTATTATGTTCAAAAGGTATAATATCCATTCCATGTGCAACAACTGAAAATGAGAAAAGAGATGAAACACCTAATTCAGAATGTAATTTACAAAGTTCTATGAACTCTAGTAATTCTTCTGCATCTTCACAAGGAGCATTTGTAAATTATGTGGGGTCTTTAATGGTAAGTATACTTTGACATATTATGTATATATGACAATAACATCACTATAGAAAGAACAGTATATGTATATGATTCCTAATATGAATATTAATTTAATTAATAACGAAATATATCTTTATAGGAATTTTGTGTTGCAAATAAGTTACCAGAGCCTTGTTTCAATAATGTTTCCTCAATTGGATTACCTCATAATTTTACATTTACAATGAATTGCTCTGTTGGTTCTCTATGCAAAGAAGGGTCTGGAAACACAAAGAAAGTTGCCAAACAGAATGCAGCTAAAGAAGTTTTACAAAATTTAAAGGTTCGTAATGCAAATATTGTAGATGAACTGTGTGTACAATATAAAAATTTAAAGTTAATCGAGCCCACATCTAATACTGACGAAATGACCAGAATGACAGATATATATATGAAAATCAGAAACGTAACTGCTACATCTACAAAACATTTACTAGTTAAGGATTATCATCTTGCCTTAATGGACAAATGTAAAAATATTTTAGAAACGCAGAAGCGTGACTTGGAACTTGGACATGTAGTGCAAAGGTGTTACACAGAAGATATATCTGTTATAAAATCCATTATTAAAAACATTTTTGACATACCTGTGAAGACTGTTCAAATTCGATCAAAGAATCATAAGCAATGTATAGTTGGAGTTCAGTTGAGAATTGTACCTCCGATCCTTCAAATTGGTGTAAGCGCAACTTTTGAACAAGCAGAACAGGCAGCACTACATAAACTGGTTGAATACATCATTATATTCATGAAATGAGTCATGGCGGGGATTGTATAATTTGTTTTACAATTATACACAAAACTGAATACATACAAGCTATACAAAGTCTTATCCCTAATACTTGATGTATTGTAAGAAGTCTTATTCAGCAAAATGTATATATTGTGTATTCATTTAAGTATAATATGTATTAAGTGTAATATGTATTTTCACTGTAAGGTCCTAATAAGTAATAAATTATTATTTTTTTAAATACTCGAACAATGCATTTATGTCATTCTATTAACTAAAGTAAAAAACAGTACATTTTATCGTTACGTGTAGTAAGGTCGCAAGCACAGCAAAGTCAAAATCGCCAGCATTGTGCCCTGGGCCTGGACTCAGATTGTGACGAAAATCGGCACAAATAACTCGGGGTGGGCGTAGTAATGAGGATAGCACTGATATGAAAGTCCATGTTATATGTTATACGCCGGTCGACACCATCTTTAGACTATACTATACTATATATTAATATATATATACTATATTAATATATATATATACTATATTAATGTAGTATACTATACTATACTATATATAACTATAGACACGACTTTAGATAGTTCGCCTGAAGCAAGACGAGTCACAGTGAACTCGATGTGAATTGAACTGTTTTAATATTTGACATTAATGAATATACTAATTATAGTATATTCTATATATTCTATTCTATATACTAATAATATACTATTATATGAAAATGTCTAATTTTTAAAAATTTTATACTATGTATGGTCTAAGACGCCATCTGACATAACGGCACCGTCGTGTTTGAGTTTTGAATCATACCTGGTGTATACTGTACGTTGATAAATACATAACCTAAAAAATGGAAAGAATGCGTGTTAACGGTCGGCATTTAGCGCAAAAAGTTGGAGAAGAAGTAGTATTGCTTGGAATTATAAAAAATGTAAGGTTTATATGATATGTTATTATTCAATAGCCATTTATTTTCTTACAATTGTTTATAGAAATCATCAAACGGTACGAATGTAGAAATAATGACAATGGATGGTATTCAAGTTAATGTAACTTTGTCAGTTCCTATCGATGGAAATGCAGAAGGATATATAGAATTACGAGGTAAATTAAACTCAAAATCTACAATGGCGTGTAGCTACTATATATTGCTGCCACCTGATGTGGTTCATAAATTTGGTAAGATCATATTATCTTCTCTTTTAATTTTATCTATTGGTTGTTTAAATTTGATCGTAACACAAACTATTATAATCGTAGATACCGATCAATATAACCATTGCGTTAATTTGTTAAATGTGATACAAAGCGATGCAAATTGGTGGGAATTAGATTAGTATGAATAACAAGTAACAACACAAATTTTGTGAAGTTTGTATAAGAATATGGTAACCTCTCAAAATAACAACCTTGAAACTAAAATAGAATTATTATCATCATTTAATGTTCTTGGGATCTTTATACGATACTCACTCCTATCTTACACGATGCGTCCAAGAAGAAACATCTACAAGTACAAGATGTTACAGGGCATTCTGAATGTTGGTTGTTTTCAAAATATATAGAAATTTACTACAAATAAAACAAAAATGTTGAAAGAAAATTCGTTGTAGTATTTCATTATATTACCGAAACCAATGTGTGTAATGTGATCAGCATGACCACCATGTCTGCACGACTGGCACCATGTGAACCAATTATTGAACTCTGTTAATTCGGTATCGCATTCTTCATTTCTATTTCCATTGGATGTAGTCGTTTGTAATCCGCTTACAGTACCTATATGCATTAAACATATTGCGCATCAAGCTTATCCTGATGTACATAGATTTTAATGACTGACTATGTAATAAATATTAATTTATTAAATCGAAATATATTATCTTCAACTTATTTGGTGTATTACCTAATTTACCAAAAGGTGCTCTTGCCCTACTTAAACCTTGCATAAACGCAGATATACTTTTACCACAAAAGTTACAAGAAACATATTATATCTGTTGCGGAGGTTTTTCATTAGTTGAAGATAGCATCACAATATCAAAATGTGCTCTTTGAGTCCACATCTTCCACGCGTTTAAAAGATTTCTGTAGCTGTGTTTAAACACCAATTAATTTTACTTTTCACTTAGAATTTCTTCGGCAATTATTTTTAGCTTTCAATACCCCTAATTATCCATACTTGAACTTGTGTTTCTTGAAGTAATTTAGGTGTACATGCTCTAATCGCTATAAGACTGCAACTTTGGACGTCGCCAGTAATTTCTAAATACCGATTTAACAATTGCATACCTTCTAAACTTGCAACTGAAACACACAACCATGTATAATAAAAGAATATTGTATAAATAATCGAAGTTGTCTAGTAGAAAATCATCGAACAGCTACTTCTCCGTGCCCGTTCGGAACCGCATACCGCGAGTATAATGTCCGACAATAGTCCACGTACGGGCTTTATTTAAATATTCCTCTGCGGGTGCATTCTTGCGTGTTCCGTTTTCGAAATACCAAAACCGGTTCACATAGGTTATTTAATATAAATATATTAATGCAGCTTTAAACCGAATTAGTGACACCGAAGCAACGCTTTATTAAAATTATATTCTCGCTGTTGTGCATTTATTTGCCTGTGAATTACACGCACGGCCAAATCTTCAGCTTGAGAATTATGGGGCAATTTCAAAATGCGTTTGTTCAAATTTTGTGCGACCATTGAAGCACATGTTCGGAGTTTCTGTGATCTCAAAATAAGAAACCAATCGATTCCAGATTATACAGGGTGGTGGATCAATAATTTCTACCACCTCGAATGTCTCCGTTATTTTTGAAGTTATAGAGAAACTTTTTATATAAAAATTGTATGGAATGTCTCCAAGACCTGTAATATGCAAGTAATCATTTTTTGTTGTTAGTTTCGGGATCCGTGAGTTGTCAAGGTCATCTCCTTTTTCTTAAATAACATAGTATACGTTTTTCTGTTCCTACAAAAATGACCTCGAAAAATAACTTTGACTATGTAAAAAGTATTATAAATAGATATTTTCTGTGTGTGTGGTGTAGTCGTTGATATCACGAGGGATGCTCCAAATATGAGAAGTTTTTTGCGATTCATGTAGGAAGCTGAAGACAAAATAACATAAGAATTACTTTAACTTTGACTGTATAAAAAGTATTATAAATAGATAAAGTAATTCTTATGTTATTTTTTCTTCAGCTTCCTACACATGAATCGCAAAACTTCTCACATTTGGAGCATCCCTCGTGATATCAACGACTACACCACACACATTTAAGCCAGTCGTTACTTTTTTGTGGTTTCGAAATAGTCCTCTTTGTATATCTCACGCATTCATTTTGGTTCCATTCTTCTAACGACGTGTCACTTTCTCGCAAAACTGGATTATCTCTAATTGTTTTCTACGCTTCTTTACATTCTTCCCCCGTTTAATTGAAACATTGCTATGTTTCTTTTTAGTTCCCTCGTTCTTCTTTGTCTTAACGTTCACTAAACTATTTATAATGTTTGCAAGTTGTCCACCGCGTTTTCTGACCATGACAGTTGCACTTGTTCGTGGAAATACGGGCGTTGTCCCGGCAAGCCAAACGGAATCCTTTGGAAATTATGCTATTTGTAACTTGAGAAGAAAGCAAATTCGCTTCGAAGAAAACCGGACAGAGGACGAAACAATTAATGTGGTCGAACTCTTCTGAATCCGGGAGAGTCGATCTCTCTCGTGATTCTGGTATAGACCGACCATACTGATTAGTATAGTATGTATAATTAGTATTATATAATTATTATATAATTTTAATAAAATTATATAATAAATAATTACAAATTATATAATTAATTATTATATAATTATATTATATAATTAATTATTATATAATTATATTATATATATAATTATATATAATTAGTATTAGAGTATATATATACTAATCAGTATGGTTGGTCTATACCAGAATATCACGAGAGAGGATTTTTAATATAAAACAGGAACGAATATATGTGTACTATTGTGGTTATATACAGTAGTATTACGCATAATATATCCCTTAAAATGAAAATAGCGTAAGTAAACTTACATATTTGTCAATTACCGCTAAGAACATATTTTAGTGAAAAAGACATTCAGATCCGCTTAAAGCTTTAAACGCAATTTGCGAGAACAGGATACGGTTTCGCGACAATCGCAATGCGTGATCGACGATCAATTTATTAAAATGTTTTCCGACTTTTAGCACAACGCCATATGGCGTCGTTGTTTCGAGAAATTTACACTGGCCGGTCTCTCCCGCCGGCCGAATTCTCCCGGACTTACCTAAAGTATAAAGTTTTCGACTGTAGTTTACAAAATGACGAAAGTATTCTAGACAGTCGAAGTTATTGGTCCACCCTGTATAATAGAATTTCACGCGAATGTAAATCTTTTGGGGGAGTACTAAATCCATTAACTTGAGCTTGAGCACTTGGAACAACAACCCTTTTATGGAAACCTAAACATCTGAAAGCGAAAGGACAATGGCAAGAGCATGAAAATGACTGCGTAACGGGTTACCAGCAAATAAGTATCAAGAAGAAAGAAAGAAAGAAAGCAGAAGCTGTGCAGAATTCGCACAAAAGAAAGAACGACCCCGGGAGAAATGTATGCTAGGAACCTGAAGTAACCAGAAGAACCGAAAGAAGAGATAGCAGAATACACAAAAGAGCTGATACAGTAGACGCAGAGAGCAAAAGGAAAAAATGCGAACAATCGGGAGCGGGTATACAGTTAAGAGGATATAAATAACAAGCATTCCGAACGTAATTAGGAACGGAGCAGATTCGACGTTTCCCAGGGAACGACTCATTACTTTCGTATAAAGAAATGAACGTGCCCTGCTCGCATTAAAATTCTAGGTTAATTTTTATTATTATATATTATATATATATAATATATATTTATTATATATATATATATTATTATTATATATTATATATTATATATATATAATATATATTTATTATATATATATATATATTATTATTATTATATATTATATATTATATATATATATATTATTATTATTATTATATATTATATATTATATATATATAATATATATTTATTATATATATATATATATTATTATTATTATATATTATATATTATATATATATATATTATTATTATTATTATATATTATATATTATATATATAATATATATTTATTATATATATATATATTTTTATTAT